AACAATCAAGAGCTTCTTTAGCTGATGATCCGTTTCTTCATACTCGTGACCCGAATGTGTGATTTAGGGGTGATTTTGTTTGGGCGAAATTAGAAGTCACTCACGCTTAGGGGTCAAAAGATTAGCTGCGCTTCGGATAGAACAATACTTCTATAAAAATCGTCTTAAATTCCTATTACAGTTTACCTTTCTCACACAGTTCTCCTTTCATGCCAGTCGCACATAAACAGCGAAACATTTTGTTCGTAAATCCGCTCTGACACGTCCCATTGTTTAAACAAGGAGCTGATTGACAGGCATTCTATATATAAAGGAATATATAAACAAATAGATGCATAATTATTTCGTATTAATGAATCTATTAGTTGAGCAATTTTTGACATGCTATTAATTGATGAATTAGTCACAAGAAAGGGAAGATGAAGTAACACAAAAGAAAAATTGCGTCAGTGGGTGGTTGAATGCATGACGGATGATTGCAAGTACTCAGAGTTGGCACGAATGATTCACGCATGCATTTTAAAATGGCGCTTGTTCGTTTTTCTGCGCAAACAGATGGATGGATGTACGTTTGAATAGTGCATGAATGCATTGCATAAAAGCTGATGTTAAAGAACTGGATGTATGAAACATGCATGTGGATGGATGGTCTGAAGGATGCATGCAAGTGTATATACATGCATGCACGCACGCAGAGATTTTGAACTCATGCATTTCTGCATGGTGCATTTAGTTTCCTTCCATTGACAAACGTATCATAGTAACTTCTTATACATCTAGTTTCTGCTGATTCACCTCAGATCCCTGATATACAAATTTCTCTCTCGTCTCCAAGTATCTCTTATCCGTAGAGTTGTTAAGTTCACACACGTTGTTGGCACCAGTTACACCCAGTCCAAAGTTGAAGGAGACGCAGTCGTTGTTAAGGTAACACCGTATTTGGCAATGACTTCGGTCTGGTGCACTCACCGTAGTGATCACATGGCCAGTTAAGGCCTGTCTCTCTATAAGCTCATCGAAATCGATAACTCTGCAGTCATCTTTTGTGCAAAAAGGGAAAATGTAGAAGATATTTTGATTGTTTTTATGTGACTCCGGGGCTCTTGTTGGTATAGCAGTTTGTAGCAATCTCTTATCTGAAGCGTTACTAAATACAGGAGCCCATCAATAAGTATTTCAATGGGGTTAACCGTTAGCCGTAAAATGGCCAAAAAATTTAGCCTTCAGGCGTGCAAATTAACAAATTTTAACCGTTCATCGTTTAACCATTCATCGTTAGAAAAGTTAACCGTAAAAAAGTTTTCGTTTCTACCGTGATGTGTCGTTTTGTGTCATTTTGGGTTAACCTTAGCCGGAAAATGGCCAAAATTTTTAATCGTTAGCAGTAAAAGCCGTCACCCCGTTAAAACCCTCATTAATGAGCTTCTGCAAGGTATCAATAATCCGCACTCTCGGTGATAAGTTGAACAAAGCATAACAATTATCGAAACTGACTGCAAAACTTTATCATAGTTCTGCTTCACAACTCTTAGATCTTTATCAATCGTCTCAGTGTTTTAATCTTATGTCTGTTCATTTGTACCTTTCTGCTGTACTGTACTGAAAGCACTATAATGACAAAACAGACCGAATTATAAATTCGCACCTTACCTCATTTAAACTTTCAATTGTTTCATTTTTTATTGAATTCCCACAGGTCACGCTAATTACATTAAACGAATCGTTAACAATTTAATACTTTTCTTTTCCCCGAAATGATTATACATAACGTTCATTTCATTGACTGCTGCTAATTCTTAACATCTGACTTATTACAACTTTCAGCGCATCGTTGGTGATGCCACACATCCTATCAAGACTTACCGGTTTTGTTTTCAAACGAGGATCGTAAATTATTAATTGTATCGCACATTCTGATTTCACAAAAGTTTTTCGATAATTTAATGTTTGCCTGAGGAAGTTGTTTTCCTTTGAAGATCGTCGACGGTCCTAACAAGTAGTCCGTTAAATTTTAATAAATTTTTATTTTATTCGGAGATATCTGCTAATCTACGTTTCGATCATGGTTAGTTAATCTCGTTTATGTTACGCCGGCATTACTTGTTCTGTACAAGCACAATGAGGGGTTTTAAAAGATAGAAGAAAAAAAAAGTGAAAGAGCTTGAATTTGATGAAATCTATTAAGCAACTTAATTCTTCTGACTGACTGCAAAACTTTATCATAGTTCTGCTTCACAA